AAAACAAAATTAATATTAGAAATTTTTGGTCGTTAAAACAATAAATTATTTAAAAACAAAGTAGTTAACATATTTTTATATCAAAACTGTTTTGTTTATGGGTTTCTACGAAAATTGTCTCTTGGAAAGAAAATATGAATTAAAAACTACTTATCTATTAGCAAATAAAAATTTTTACGTATTCAAATGAAAATATTATACTTGAATATAGTGTTTATGCTCGAGTACAGTATTATAAAATAATAAACGAGGTTATTCACCACTCCTTGTTCTAGACAAGTATATATATTCCGTTTTCCCACCTAAGTACATATATTAGAACACTTAGGTTTGTGTGTTGAAATTGTTTTCTTTTTGGAAAAGGTTAACAGACAGATCTATGTGTTCTCATTAATGCATTTAGGCTTACAGACTTTTTAACACTATCTTCATGAAAGAAATGCGAATGACTTTTAGTAGTAGCATTAACTATAGACTTATCATCGGATGACTCTGAGGCATTCGTCAAACTAATTTTGTATCAATAGACCCAACAGATAATACTAAGAAACGTGAACACCTTTTTTCGGAACTAAGTTATAATATTGCTTACATATGGAGTAAATGTCCCAAAATTCTTTAAACCTTTATTGAACAAAAAAAACGATCATCCACTAAAGGATCCAATCGCTGAATTAGTATCGTTTCTCTATTATTTTCTAAACTTGCAAACAGTAAGTTGAGCCTCTTATTCGCAAATGTATGGTATTTAACGCATTAGTCTAGAATCTGTAAAAGCTAGATTTTGGCAAATTAATTTTTGACAAAATTGTAATATTAATGCAAAGTAACTCAAGAATTAAATAATTTAAAAATATACACATCTATACAAATATATTTGTTTATATTTGTGTATAATATGAACATAATAAATAATGACAAATTTATGGCAACTTATTAAAAACAAAGATAATAAATAAAATAAAATATTATTATAAATGTTAACAGTTAAAAAAATGTAAAGGTACTACAAACAATAAATTAAACACATATATATATATAATATATATTAATAAATATCGATAAATAGGAACTGTATGAAATACTAAATATATTTAATATTATAGAAATACAAATATTAAAGTACACAACCAAAATGTATATATATATTTAAATAAAAAGCGTATTAACAAAACGATCAGTTCAATAATTTTATATATAATGAAGAGAAAATAAGTTTTTTAATTCTTAATTTTTAGAGCAAGTTTTGCTATTATTTTATGTATTAAAACAAAAGGTATAAATATAAATAAACGAAATGTTAACAGATTAAATCGCAATTAAAACCATATATAAATTATGTAAAACAAAATCAATTATATATATACATATATATATAAAAAATTATATATATTGTAAAATGACTTTTAAATTTATGTGTGGACACAAGTGTAAAGAAAAATATAATAAATGTATAAGAAGAATTAACTAATTTGAGAGGTTATAAAAAAATATTATTAAAGTAAAAGATGTTTCGAAAAAATGTTAAATGCAAAAGAATATATATATATACAAATATATAAATTTAAAACAAAGGCGTTAATCTGAAACAATAATAAAAATAAAATTGAAAAAATGTAAAAAAAATCGTGTTCTTTCAAACCATATAAACTATATATTTTTTAAATATGATGATCATTCACTAAAGAATTTTATTAACAATAATACAACAATCTAGAGAATGGTGGGGATGAAAGGAATAGTGTGTTGTCCCTTTGTCCCTTTCTCACTTATCAATTCCAGCTAAAGTAGGTGTTAAACTTTTAAACAGATGTGCGAAAGAAACAATGCTAAGTGGTAACACTGTAAGTAATACACACACTAAGATAATGGGAATTTATATATAAATGTTTAGCACGCATCTATATCCTATTGGACAAAGACAGTTTCTAGTTTACGAATAAGTTGTTGTTCATCCTTAACTTGAAAGTCAGGTGGTACACATTAAGAAACTTGTCCTATATCCTATTTAAATTGATTAACAATAGTTCTTAGCACATGAAAAAGTGTCTATCATCCGTAACAATTGTAGATGCTGCTTATTAAGAACCATATTTCAATGCAAACATAGACCATAGACCTCACTACGGTTGGCTCCTTTGCATAAATTACAAGTGACTGTTTAGCATGAGGCTATATCATATCATCAGTTAGACTAAAATAGTCTTCGCGCACTCAGAAGCGTATACCATACATTAGAAACCTTAATCACAATAAACTAAGACTAGTCCTTACTAAAGTTCCATTCATTGTATTAGGCGTTATTGTACACCTTGCTCGTCCTCAAGATGTATCTTGTTCTTCGTATACAAAAAAGTTTGACATGTGCCATGTCCTGCTTAAAAAGTAGACCTGACTTTTGACATTACTGGATATTTTTTAAGTGTGTCTCGTAGAACTGCGGGTCCACATTAAAGTTTCATAGGCCACAATGAAGTTTTGTTTATTTTTGCCCTAAGAATAGTTTGCGAGAACTTTCATCAAATTGTTGCGAATCTTTGATAGATAGCCTGGCATTGGCGAAAGATGTTAGCATATAGTTGAGGCGTTAATAGTATTTGAAATAAGTAGTTCCTTACATTAGAACCATAAGAATCGTATATGAAATTTTTTTTTTATCAGTTATTAGTTGCTAAAGAAGTATTTTTTATTAAGTTGAACGATTAATTGGTAGGTGTAATTCATATTAGGTATATATGTTTATATATACATGTATAAATATAATTTATATAACAACTATTATAGAGTTTTCAGATAATAGAGTGGATCAATTAGTTCAAGAAAACTGATAAAATAATAAATTGCTAATTATCCAACATAATAGCAATAAAGATATTACTTAGCACCATCAACATAACACTACTACTTATGTAGATCTGTTCGTTATTACAGATAACATAAGAAAAACTACTTAGAGGTATATATGGCTTCAGATGTAGTAGTCGTAGTGCGAGGGGATTATTTGGTTATAAGATGAAATTAAGGGATGAGTGAGATTTAAATTGAAGTCAACCAGGATCTAGGCGGAGAAACCTAGCCACTTTTATGGGTCGTGTCCAAAGACCAATTAGACTCAAGTTTGTGTGTACATTGGTGCAGGTAAACATATAGGCAACATCACGCTGTGTAGAGTGGCAGTTAGGACGCACATTGGGAGTTAATGTATTTATGCGTGACAAATAAATGCTTAAAACATGGCTTTATTCTGATCTTAATTGAGCTACGAAAGTTCTTGCTGCGTGAGAAAGGCGTCGTTATTCCTAGGATATAGTAGGTTTCAACACACTTTGTTGTCAATTGAGAAATTTATTACAGTACAATCTAAGCTGCGAAGAAGATATTGCATCTGCGTCGATGGCTGTTAGTCCATGTTTATATTTGCCCTCACATTTTTCACTAGAAGTGCTTAGTTTACAAATGGTGGGAGTTTGGTAACGTCTTTATGGTATTATATATTATATATTAAATTAATATTATGTAAAATTGATATTATTTCAGTAAACTTATACAGAAAGACTGCTTAACTTTCTTTTATGTCATACTTATTTCTATCACAACTATAACTTTTCATTGTGTTCTATACAATGTATTCTAAATATTGCTATAATTATAATAAAGAACACATTTATTTTAATTTCATTTATTACTATTTTTCTTAAAATATTTAAATGAGCCTCAACTAGATTCGAACCAGTGTTTCTCATGTATATAACAAACATACATATATTTCACAAACGCATAAAATAGGTTTGCTTAGTAACTATAAAGGCATACATAAACAGGGATGTTAGCGTTAAGAACATTTAAAATTAAAACTTTATAACAAAAACGTTACATTTTAATTATTTTTAAATAAAAGTTATAAAACAGAAAATACAATTCTATTAAATTACAAATTTTAATTTAAAGAAAAACATTATTGATAATTGAAAAATCCCTTATAAAAAGTACACAAACAAAAACGTAATAATATAAACATAAAATTTATAATTGACCTATATACAATTCTATACATAATTAAGAAAATCATGTATTTTCTTTTAGTTGATGTATTTAATATTAAATATTTAATACTAATATTTAATATTAATAATAACTTAATTAATAATATAATATTTATATAATATTAATATTTAATTTATTATTAATATTTAATATTAATATATATTAAATATATAATATTAAATATATAATTTTTTACGAAATGTATTATATCAAATTTACACAATTTTTTTATCTTCAATAACTCAGGCTTGGCCTCTTAATAAAGATGTTTTAATCAAACGATCGATTAGTGTATTGTGACTGATTTAATCAGTGATTTTGATTAGTTCAGTTACTACGCTTTTTTCGCAAACGTTAGTCCTGTTGCGTATCCTCTAAATTAATAAAAACATTACGCATTTTCTCTAAATCTGGTGGCGCTGTATCTGGATTACGTATCCATATGCTATAAGCACGTTTATCGGTCTGTGTTAGTGGTTTAAAGTTTCTTGAATCTAGTGTTGCATCGCCTGCCAATTTGGAATTAAAGCGCGCATAAAGGAATATACGATAACGCCAATTGTCAAAGGTCTGAAAAGTGAAAAATTCTGGTTGAGAAATTGTGGTATGAAGGTGAATGATTTCTAAGTTACCTGCTTCCATTCTGCTACATGTTTTACAGCACCTTGCGGCACTGAATTTAATATATCCGCTAATTTTATCCAAAAAGGATCAAGGTAAGGATCATTTCTACGACGATCATTAATGATAGGATTTTGTTCCAAAAAATTGACGTAGACCTCCTTTTGTTTCTTTGACATACGTTCTTTGCGTTCTGAAATTTATTATAATTTATTTAGTTTAAATTAAATAAATTTTTTTATGTATGTATTTAAAATTTGTATTTAAAGATTTAAAATAAAATTATATATTATTTCTCTTCTTTTAGATTTATAAAAATCAAAAAAACTTACGCCTTAAATTATTCGTCGATGTTTCCTGCATGAGTGCTTCAACTTGTTGCTGATGTTGCTGTTGTTGTTGTTGTTGCTGGTGCTGATGCATTAAGTACTCATTCCAGCGTTCGAATTCATGGTGTTGTTGTTGTTGCTGGTGCAATTGCTGTTGCTCCTCATCAGTTATGCCAGCATACGATTTGGAGGATGGCTGTGAGTCTTCGGCGTCATCAATATCGGTAGGTGGTGGCAGTCCTGTGGCAAAATTGAATTTCGATTCGTCTACCAAATGATCAGCGTCTGTGGTGTGATTCGGCGTTGTTATAACAGTGGGATTATGTGAATGTGTTGCACGTAATTTCAAAGGCGGCGGCTGTTCATCTGCACTTTCTGCATTTTCGGAGTTCTGTGAATTTATGGCACTTAAATTGGTCATTTGACTGAGATGGCTGGATATATTCGTAGTCTCTTGTATATCTAAAGGTTTTTTGGTAGCACAATGGCAAATATTGCAGGTCAATTCTGGTGGATATGTATCTTTATTAGGTTCAAAAACTAGTAAGAGAAAATCAAAAACAATAGAGTTAAAAAAATTTAAATTTTAATTGTAAATAATATATAAAAACAAAAACAAACAAATTAATATTTTTTTCTTGCTAATTGAACACATTAAAAGTTAATATTTAATTTTATAAATTTAAGTTAAATACTTTATTTAATATTTGCTTATTACAAAACTATACATTTAACTTATGTATAATAAAATATTTTGATTTTAAATAATTATTAAAACTAGAAAACAAGTGTGTTAAGTGTAAATGCTTTAATTGATCAATAGTCGTAATCCGTTTGGGTATCATCCATATTCGGAAACATTTCCATTTTTTCATAATCACGTGGTATTGTGCCTTTGTTGCTGGTCCAAAGCGCATATGCACGATGGTCGGTATCAGTTAGAGGTTTAAAATTTTTTGGATTTTTAGCTGCTTCGCCGGTTACTTTTGAATTGGTTCTTATGTACATGAAAACACGGTAACGCCACGCATCGAAAGTCTAAAATAGTTAAAAAAAAATTTATAATTATTTAAAATCTTTTATAATTTTAAAAATACATATATCCAATTATTGTAATACAAAAAAATAGTTATTCCATTAATTTAACACCAAGAGGTTTCGAAACACATAGACGAGGTTTACTATTCGGATCTACTTTAATAGTCTAAAATATTTCTACAACTAACAAGATGATATATTGTTACATTACACGTGTTTTGATCTAGAGACAGTTTCAGAAACTGATTGCTAGAACCTATGTAGGTAAATAGCTTCTATAATATGGTACTTATATTTAATCATTAAAGAACTGCTAGAATGTAATAGATTCTTATAAAAAATTGTGACCCGGAAAAATATAGATGTTTATTGCAACTATATGGCAACAACATATCTTGCTAAAATGTACAATTTAAATATATCTATAAATCTATATATCTATTTAAGTAAATCTATTCATACAAATTTTAGAGCAAGTCATAGTTGTACCAAATGTGAAATTGTTGTTGTTGGTCACAGTAGTTGTTACAACCCGTGGAGATCTATAGAGCAGATAACATAAAAGGAATTACAAATACGTATACATGTGTTAGGATGTGGTTAGGTAAAGATACTGTGAGAGGAATGAGGACATAATTTGCTTCACTAGGAGTTATTTATAAAATAAGTTGAAAATATTTGTTGCTGCAATTCACTACTTTCAAAAGTTCTATTGAAAATAATAGTTTATATTAAGAATTAAGTTTATTTCATTAAAACGGACGCTTAAACGAACGTTTAAATCTCTAACGAGAAAGACTTTTTAACTCACGTAATTTAAGTTTTAACAGCTATTATAAGATATGCTTATTATTTGGATATGCTTAAAGAGCTTTCACATACAAATTGAGAAAGCTAAGCAACAAAACTATTTATAAAATGATAATTATATTCATCTCACTTAGTATTAAATATATGATATTAAGATATTTGCAATATTTTTTGATTCCTAAAACTTGATCTCAACTCTAACAAATATGAAATTATTGTCTTGTTATTAAAACCTATTTCATAAGATCCCATACTTTTAAATTACGTTTCACTGTAAGTAAGCTTTAATCATTGAAAATTGTAACTTCATATTAAAGTTTAATATCTATCCGGATATATTCAGATATTAACTGCATAAAGAAACTTATCAGATAGTCTCTTACTAGTAGTATCACTCATATCCTCTTAAAACGACAAACATCACCAAAGGATGATTTCGAAACATTAACAAAGCAATAAATTGAATAATAACACAAATAATAGTTAAGGGTAAGAATGAAGATGTGAAGAAGTCTCATTGTGGTGAAAATACGGTTGTTTAATAATTCTTTTTTCAAGCTGATGACTTTTCTCACTTTTAAATATAATAAAATAACCTATTTTTAAGTTTTAAGACATGAGATGAAAATGGAAAGGAATTCATAGAACCATCTGGAAGAAAAGAATCTTAAAGTAATCAAATACGAAAATGTGCAAATACTTTAATATTACACATATGTGTTCGAAACTTAAAACTTCATTTCTTTGAATATTCATAACTTAATGAATTATCACACAATCTTACATCATCAATTGTTTTGTATAAAACTCACCTGACGCCATTCCTCAACATTCTTCACCGCTCCCTGTTGCACAGAATTCAGCATACTACACAATTTAACCCAATGTGCTTCTAGCCCAGAATCGTTTCGCCGCTGTGACAGCATGCAAGGATTATCGTCAATATATTTTACGTAAATTTCTTTCTGATCCTTTGACATACGTTCCCCCCGCCCTAGTAAAGAATTGAAGTTATTTAACATTCCATAGATTAATTTAAAAACTTACTTCTAAAACGGCTAACAGGTGGAGTCCCAAAAGCTGGCGAATGATCGGAATTTAATTGCTCATTTATTGGACCATAATTTGAATAATATGGGTTGCTTGGCATGGATAAGTGTTGCTGTTGTGTATGTTGTTGCTGCGGAGATTGGGTTAACAGCGGCAAGTTCATATGTGGCATTTCTGAACGGTGTATTGCATTCAGGTTTTGTTGAGTGTAATTTTGACTCATAATTTCTTCTTTCACATCAAAAGACATTTCATGTTTAACATTCTCTGGATTCTCAACTTTATCCATAACATCCATTGGATCGATTGATTGGGTTAAGGACTCTGGTGTATGTGCTGTGTAGGCATGGGATATACGGATTTTGTTTTGCGGTTCATTAGGACTATTTCCTTGCAAAGGAGATTTTAAAGCTTCATTAACCATGATATACTTTTTCGGAGTTTCATTTATTACACTGTCGTTAGATTTTTGCGGTACTGGTATATTCAATTTTTGGGAACAAGATGGTTCAAAACATACATTCTCATTCTTAGTCAATTCATCGCCAACTGTAAGGAGTAGCGTTTTAAACAAGTTTTGTTTTAATTAAAATAATAATATAAGAACTTACAAGGATCAAATTGTGCAATCAACTTCAAATCCAAATAATTTAACTATTTTATGTAAATAACAACAACAAAATGTATAACATTTTAGCGCTTTTATACATATATGAGCGGAAGGTTAATATCACGAAATATGGAGTATTAGGCATACATAACGCTAATACTTCAAAACGGATACACGCATGTAAGGGAACATGGATTCAGTATTTATTAAAATATAACTACTTATTTGATATATGTAGAAAAGGATGTGCTATTCTAATCTACTTACAGCTACGTATGTTGTGATTCAATTGGAACTTACCCTGTCCTACTTCTATAACGAAATTGGTCAGGTCATGACGTTGCGCCAAGTAGTTGAGCAACAGTTCGTCTGGTATGATGAATCCAATCTTCTTATTGCGAAACTCGAAATTATAAACCCCGAATGCCGCTCGCACTGTAATTAATTAAAAAATCTTTTAATGTTTTTTTTAATTGAAGAAAGTAAAATACAATAACAACTCCAAAACACCGCCACCACCGCCGAAACAATCAGTTTAACTTCAGCCACACATTGTGCCGTTTTAAGAGTGCACACATAAACACACACACACACTCACACAAAAGTACAAGTGCGTGCAATTGGCGGTTGAAATGTTCTTATATTATTACATTTCAACACATTTTGTTTATTTTCGATTCGAAAAATGTTTGGTACTATTTAGTTAAACTTACCAACATTTTTTAAATCCCAAATGCTTAAATTTCGATTTTCCTCAGGTACACCGATCATTAAAAGTTTTTTATTGTCGCGGAACTGAAAGGGAATAATGCAGCCTGAACGGAGTACCATTTTTGTTTTTATCTCGAATTTTTTGTTTATTTACACTTTATAATTGAGTGGAGACAATATTTTTTAATCGACTTTCTAGAGAACTTCTAATTTAATATTTTTCTAATTTCTTTTTATGTATTCTATTATAATTCATTTCGCTTAATGTCTTTTACATTTTTCCTCTTTTCGTTGTAGAAGAAATGTAGTACGTGATAATTTGACAGTTCGCTGTTTGTTTACGAATGTAACCATGAAATGCGCGTAAGAATAAAGTATGTTAGGGTTGTTGTGCAGTTGTGTTGTATGCACAAGAAAAGGTAGTATTTGAAACGTATTAGTGGTATAATGTGTACATTGCGTGTTTGAAGATATTTTGTTTTTATTTATTTTTATCCATTTATTTTATTACAGTCTGTCAGGTACGAATGACAATAAGTGAAATTTGTTAATATGAACCGTAATAATAATTATTACGATCTGAGAAAAGATCGGCACGTATGGACTATACCCAGTCACATACACTTAAAATAGAAATGTGTGACCTACATATGTATACAAATCAAAGTCTCGACGTTTTTCTTCTTAACTTTGTAGAACTGTTGGAGGAGGGCATCAACCAGCGGGTTTGGTTGCATATATGTATATGTGATGAGCGTGATTCTTCATATTACGAGACATTTCTTGCTTGATTGCCGAAACACATAGTTGTTTATGTAGTGGTTCATTCGTTATATACCAAGGTATCAATTTGTAATCATTCGTAGTGTTTTAGATTGAAAACGCTGAATAATTGCTAGGTTTGAATCTGTTGCAGTACCCAATAATTGAGACCCATAACTCCACTTAGGTTTTACTGCAGTTTTGTATATAAGCCACTTATTGTCGAGTGACAGTTTGCAATTTCGACTGAGAAACCAAAATAAGTTTCGCAATTTGAGACCAAAAGCTTTAAGCTTGGATCTTTGAATATGAGTGGTTTCCAGGTTAGTTTACTATCCAGATATATGCCCAAGTATTTTGTTTCTAAAGCTTCTGGTAATTGAGTATTGTTTATTAAAACAGGCAGGCACGTAGAACGTTTTGTAGTAAATGTTACCTGGACAGTTTTTTATTCATTTGGTTTGATAGGACATTTTTTCATCCAGAGTGCAACATTGTTAAGGCAGGGTTTAGTTTGGTGGAAGTACGGATTGGGTTACGGTCAACTTATAAAATAGCTGTGTCGTCTGCAAATGTACTGTTTACACTCTCATCGATAAGGGGAAGATCCGCAGTATATAAAAGATAAGGCATTGGTCTTATTATGCTACCTTGAAGTACTCCTGCTCCTATATCATGAAGTACTTATTGTAGTTTTATTTCTATGGTTAATGCAAAAGTGCCTTGCCGAGAGGTATGATTTAATAAATATTAAAAAATTTTTAGGGTAGATTCAGTTTAAGTTTGAAAAGACCCTCATGCCCTTCAGACTCGATCATCTATTGCACTGTAGATATGTCTGAGAAGATTGAAGAAATTAAATAGAAAGTATTCGATACCCAATTTTATTATAAAATAATGATAAACGATTGAATTGAACAGTGCAGGGTCTGTGAGAGCAACACATCGAGTTCGACGATCAAGTACCGAGTTCGACGATCAAGAAAAATTTTTTTTTATATTTAATAAGGATTAGTAATGTTCGTTCTTTAATAAACAAAATGCAATTTAAATTTAATATTTTGATTTTTATTTTAAAAAAATAAACAGTTAAAAAATAATTATGATATTTAGTAATCTTGCTTATACATAGTTTGATATCTATAACGTATCAATATATATTTTTAATTAAAAAAGGCAAAAATTATTATAGAAATAAAGTAACTTTTGTAGCTTAAATTAATGCTTATTTTATAATTTTTTTTATCACTTTATAATACAACTTTTTAGTGTAAACTGCAGGGGTGTGGTTAACGAGCTCATAGACCCACACTTGGGAATTAGATGTGCCTTAGATGTTGTCTTTAAAACTTTCTAACAATTGAGTAGTTAAATTTTTAACCAGGTGCTCTATGGTTTGAAAAACCATCTACAAATATTTAAATGGTTATTAATGCAATTTTATGAGAATAATAAATAATTACCTCGGCTGTAAATGTAAATGAAACACTAAGTGGTGCTCTAAAGAAAGTGCCGCACACTACTCCGAAGATGATGAGTAAACTATAAATGAAAGAACAAATCTAATTAATGTACTATATATGGAAATATAATAAGAAAGAAAGAAAGTTTTAGAATTAAATTCAGTAAATGAATTTTAAATGAATTTTTGGATCATATGTCCTCTTTTTACTTAAACAATAACGAAAGTGCATATTATACACGACATACCTACGCTTTCTTCAACTACCGTCTCTATATCGAGGCTCTTGTAGCTTTCCAGTAACATTTTTACTTTCTCAAAATATGGCCAATCAGATGGAATCCCCATTTTTTTTTCTTTTCTAAAATAAATTAATTAAATAGCTCCTTAATTATTTATTTGCCACTAAATTCATACCTACTTATATCTGTTCATCAAATTTCTTATTTTGTGTCGTATCTCCGCCGCATTAAAATCAAAATTGTTTTGGCACATCACATCCGCTATTTCCACATACACATGACCATTCCTTTTTTGTCCACGTAGCTGTGGCAATTTTTTCTCCCACAACTCTAATAGGACTTGCTCCTCTTCTGTGTTCCAACGGGAGTGACGCTTCTTTCTAAAACATTCACTGTGAATATTTGAAAATATGTTAATACCTAATATTATTTTATGCAAATTATATATTACTCACCTGTTGGTTATCGTTGGATTATTGTGAATGTTACTGGGTTGGGTTATTGGGCTTCGTATATGATGGGTGCTTTTATTGTTGACTTTACCGAATTGTTTAAACACTTTTTAATAAAAGAAAAATAGAATAGTGTTATTAAATTCGAGTTCATTATATAAAATTATTATTTTAATTAATGGAAAGCTGTACACTACAAAAACGTTTCACTTCAAAAAATGCTTAATTGAACTGAAACTTATTTATAAGATCAACAAATCAAAGACATATAAACATTGAAGTTCAAGTTAATTAATGAATTTGGTTCAAATATTAATTAATTTGAAATGTGGATTAAATATTAATCCATTTGAAGTACGGATTAAATATTGATTAACTTCAAATGTGAATTAAAAGATGACGATTATTACGATTGTGTTAAGCGCGGTGTGGACTATCATTTTTGAGTGTCATTCAAGAGAGAAAACCTAATAATGACACTCACATAATGATAGTTGTTGCATTTGCGAAACACACCTACAGCGTGCGTAAACACCATTATTCTTCAAAAATTTTGCTTGAATGAAAACTCTTGAATGTTAGCACGTCCGGTCGCTAGAATAAATTGAAGCAAGTAAGAGCGCAACTTGAATGACATTTAAAAATGATAGTCTGCACCGCACTTTATAGCTTCAAATACCATAAATACATTCAACTTACTTTTAAAGCGCCTAGCAGTTATAACGCCAGTAACTGGAGAATGTGTAGACCTTAATTGCTCATTTGTGGAATCATCTTGCGAATAATGCGGGTTTTTTTTAATGGCTAAACGTTGCTGCATTTTATGCTGATTATGTAGGGTTTGGTTTGTTAATGACAAGTTTTGCTCAGAGTAATTTGTGCTTGGTATTTCTTCCTTTACTTTAAAATCCATTTCATTCTCAAAACAGACTGAATCCTCAACTTTATCCATAATATCGATTGATTGATCCATTGACCGTATAGGGGACTCTGACAAACGTGCTGTATATGCTTGAGATATACGTATTTTGTTCGGTGGCTCATTTGAATTATTTCCTTGCCTTG